GAGTGGATAGATCACTAAAGTCTTTTTTATTAAGAAGCTTAAGGCTGACTTTGAGTTGTCTCAGCTTCTGACAAATTCTGAACATAGGGACACCACGAATATATTGAAACCAGGTATTAGAAACAGTGCTAAGAAAATCTGGGTGTTGAGACCAGAAGTCAAAATATTTGAAAGGTTTCTTAAAGGAGCTACTGTTAACACTGATATTGACCACAACAGATGAGTGATCAGAAATACCAGCCGGGAGAAACGTAGCCGTAGACTCAGGAAACTTATCCAGCCAGGCCTCATTAACCAGGATTCTGTCAATCTTGATCGCTATGAAAGCTCCCTCACTCCTTTTATTAGCCCATGTGAATTGGCATCCACCATAAGATAGATCAGCCAATTCAGATGCGTTAATATAAGCATTAAACTCCTCATTTTCAGAAGTCCAGGTAGGAGAACCCCCAATTTTTTCCTGTTGGTATCTTATAGCATTAAAATCACCCAAGAAAATGCAAGGAATTTTGGATTTAGCACGGGATATGTTAAACATTGTATCAAAAAATACTTTCCTCAAAGTGTGCTCATTTGCAGCATATACAAAAACAGCAAAAAAATATTCATTTGTAGCCAAGTCAAGGATTTTACACAAAATATGCTAATTTGACATGGAAATCAGTTGAATATCACAAAAATCATTGTTCCAGCACACCCAGACTCTCCCAGTTTCAGTTGGTTGTGAATTGGAGAGCATAGACCAATTACCAAAGCATTTTCCACAAATTTTCCTCTCATTGGGTTGCTTTATTTTAGTTTCCAAAACTCCCATGACATGAACATTTTCTTTAGACACAAAATTCTTAACTTCTTTTTGTTTAGAGGAATCATTCAATCCTCTAACATTCCATGAAGCAATTTTAACAGTCATTGGGATACAAAAAAGAGAGGTGACAAAAAAAACCACAACCAACTGAAACTGGTTACTTCTTCTTCTTCCTCTGGCTGCTACTGCCTTTGCCAGAGGACTTGTTCTTTATATGCTGGTTTACCTAAGCTACAGAAGGTGACTTCTTTACCTCCTTCAGAGCTGACTCTATCATTTCAGCAGCATTAGGTATAACCAGCTCTATAAGCTCGAAAATCTTCTTTTGAAATCTATCCACATCACTGCTGTCAGAACTTACTTCTTCCACAGAGGAGCTCTTCTCGGCTGGATCCTCCTGTATCACTTGAGTACGAGCTGAAAGCAGCCAAAGGCTCTACAACTGAAGTAGGTATTGGCACCGTATCTGAAGGGATTTCAGGGGACTCCACCACTTCAGGTATAGTCTCTAACTCAGGATCCCCCACTTTCCTTTTACCCTTTGCTTGAACAGTGGTCCAACCTTCTTCCTGAGGATTAACATTCTCTTCGGTTACCTTCTGCAAGGAAATCAAGTGGGCCACTTGTTTGGACACACACTTCTCAGTACTATGTCCAAAGATCTGACAGTGTTGACAAACAGAAGGCAGTCCCTGATATTAAGCTTTAATCAAGACAGCATCATCACCACACCTGATTTGGAAGTAAGAGAGCAACTTTGATGTAGCTTCTATCTCCACACAGATTCTAGCAAAGGCCACTCTACTACCTCGAGCCGTAAGCTGATCCATAAAGAGGGGATTGCCAATTGCACTAGCAATCCTGCTTAAACCATCAGGATCCCAGTATTCCAGGGGGACATTAAAGAATTTCACCCAAATTGGGATTTTAGTGGATTTCTCCTTGGCAAGCTTCATCATTCTCTTCCACTGTTTCAAGATGAGGAGGTAACCCCCAATATACCATGCGCCTCCCTCTAGAACGTCTCTACAGCACTCAGGGGTATCAAATATGAAGAACATGAAGCCATCCCCATTTGTGAGAACTTCCTTCAGGCCCTTAGCCTTCCACAACCCAAACGCACTATTCCGAAGATAATTATACCCAACTCCTTTATCAATAAAATAGCCAACGAGACAGGAATCCCATTTCTCCAAAGGGTCAGGTCTTGCTGGCATTTCTACCACAATGCTATCTTCTACAACAGTTGGAGGGACATACCTAAGCTTGATGTTTGATCGAGTAGATGCAGCAGTAACATTGGCCCATGATCGTTGGTCCATTTGCTCTACTGATCTGCTTCCACTAGAGCCCCCGCGACCTCCTCTCCCACCCCGATAACTGCTTCCCCCCTTACCACCTCCCCCGTGAGTGGACTCACCAAGAGGAAACTGGGTGTCTGAGATAGGAGCCATATTAGGATCACTCAGAACAAAACTATTCATGGTTCCCCCCCTATTACGCGCGATCTCCAGGCTAGGGAGATTCAGGAAGCGATTATGCTCTTCCTCGACGATTTCAGACCAACTCGTACCAATCTCATTACCAATTGGCGTAGATGGTTCCTGACCAAGACCTGGGAGCATCGGAGCCTTCATTTTATCCAAACTCTGCACAACATCCTTAGATCCGTCATCGATTGGGGATTTAGATAGATCTGAACCCACTATTTCTGAGAACGGAGCCGAAAGACCCATTTCTTCAGAACGATTTGCCTCAACATTTATTACCACTTCCTGGTTTTGAGCCTCCTCACTGGGCAGATCCTCCATCGGAGTACCAACGCAGCGGTCTACGGTTGAAACACCCTCACCACGAGGTGTAGAGAGGTCTGATTCAGAAGCCATCAAGTCGTCACACAAGGTCGTAAAACGATTCTTAGTAAACCCTAGATTCCGATCGACTAGACCAGATATCTTTACAGACTCACCCTTAGCATTTTCCCCCACCTTTCTCTCATTAATGGTAGCATTTACTCCAAACATCAGCAATCAATGAGATATTGAACCCTAGAAAACCAGAGTTTTCTAGAGAGACATCGGCAATCAAGGACCTCATTTAAGGTATTCTAAATCATCTAAGTGTTCAATTCTCAAGTCCAAAATGATGAATTTGTATTCCCTTTGATTTTCTTTCGATTTCTTCATCTTTTCTCTAACTTTCTCTTCCAGCTCTCAAGAATAATGTTTCTCTGTAACTTTCTCCGTCCTTCTCTATTTTGTTCTAGGAACTAACTACATTAGGCCATTAATTGTTTCATTAGCTTAAGTGGCCGACTTGAACCCAAACTAAGTTTGCTCAGTCTCCGAGAAAGAGAATTTTTTGATTAATGGTAACTTAACGATATTAGTTGAACCTAATCACCTCATTTAAGGTTTTCTAAAACATCTAAGGGTTCAATTCTCAAGCAGAAAACGATGAATTTAAATTCCCTTTGACTTTAATCATATTTCTGTTCTTCTTTTTTTTCCTCAAACGTTCTCTTCTGGCACTCAAGAATAATGTTTCCCTGCAACTTTCTTCGTCCTTCTACATCCTTCTCTATTTTCATCAACGAACTAATTATATTAGGCCACTAATTGTTTCATTAGCTTAAGTGGCCAAGTTTAGCTCAAACCAACCTTGCTTAACCACCAAGAAAGAGAATTTTCTGAGTAATTGTTGCTTAACGATATTAGCCTAACTGAAGCACCTCGCTTAAGGTTTTCTTAGTCACTTAAGTGTTCAATTCTCGAGACCAAAAGGATGAATTTTTGGTCACTTAAGGTTTTCTTAGTCACTTAAGTGTTCAATTCTTGAGACCAAAAGGATGAATATGAATTCCCTTCGATTTTTTTCCTATTTTTCTTTCTTTTCTCCAACTTTCTTTTCTACCTTTGAAGAAGAATGTTTCTATCCAACTTTCTCCGTCCTTCTCCATCCTTCTCTATTCCTTCTACGAACTAATTAGCTGAGGCCAGTAATTGTTTCATTAGCTTAAGTGGCCAAGTTTAACTCAAACTGACCTTGCTTAGCCTCCAAGAAAGCGAACTTTCTAAGTAAATGTAGGTTAACGGTATTAGTTTAATACAAGCACCTCATTTAATCTTTTCTAATGTCCAAATGGTTGAATTTGAATTCCCTTTTACATTCTTCCGATTTCTTTTTTGGGTGAATAAGACATAAATTAAAGACAAAGGATATACAAGATTACAAGGGGAATACCCCAGGCCCCACAACAACTATACAGGAAGATCCGTAACCCAGAAAACCAAAAAGCTAACGCAAAGAGAAACCAAATCCAAAAAATACACACTGTTCAGCAGCCATATCAAGAGAGATAGGGATAATGAACACTGCGAAGGACAGCTAAAAACCGAGACCAAAACAAACCCATATCATCACTAAACATTGGCACCAAAACCGAGAAACAGGTTTGGTGAACAAAACAAAACCTGCGAAAGAATAGCCCAAAGCCGAGGGATGAACAGCCCCATAATAGCAAAACGAAATATAACCTGTGGACTACCTAATCCAGAACCAACAGTAAAGCAATAGAAACAAAATAGGTCAAAGATGGACCACTTAATTCCTAGCACACCCCGCTAGGATAGGTAAAATAGCTAAAGTTGTTAAAACAGAAATGAATCTGTCCATACCACCCCAATAGAACTCAAACATTGTAGTAAACCCAGTGGGCATCAAACACAATCTGTCCAGTAACGGAGTTCCGACACAACACCAGCCATCAAACAAATAACAAATATCCCTTTCCATGCAACCACCGCAGAGCTTAAACATTGTAGTAAACCCAGTAGAAACAGTCATGAATGAGTATTTCCAGCAATAACAACAAGGACATAACATAGAAACAGTGCGCTCAATGTAGGATCTCTCATCACTCGGCCCACAATTTAGGGGCTCACACCACTCAAAAAAGCATCCTTAACCTGCACATAAAAATTTACAATATATATAGGCATTAGCAAAAATATGATGGCTAAAATCACTCGACCCACATGTAAACTGAAAGATATGATAATAACTCCCATCACTCAACCCTCAAAAATAGATAGCTCCACATAAACCACCGGATTACACCTGCAAAAAACCAAATAAATTAGAACCCTCCTTTAAGCTCACCATCACTCAACCCACATATAGTGAACTCACATCACTCAGCAGCCCTCCCAGTGCCGAGAGCATGGGGCTTCAGGACAGTAGCAGGCAAATTCCAATGGTCAATGTACCAGTTGTCACCTGCATTTCTAGGAACATTTGTGATAGACAACAATCTACCCCGAATCAGTTGGACAATTATTTTAACCACCACTTCTACTGGCTTGAATTCTTTGTTGAAAATTCTGTTATTCCTTTCAAGCCAGATTATATAAACAGAGCACAACAATGACAGTTTGATGATTATGGATCTTAATGATCTTTTCTTAGTCTCTCTAGTAGCAAAGGGAATAATGCCAGGCCACTGAAAGTCAGGCCACTGCACATTACATTTAGCTTTAATTTCAGTCCAGATTTTAGTAGAGAAGACACAATCAAAAAAGAGGTGAGAATGAGTTTCAGTAACATGTTGGCAAAATGGGCAGGTTGGTGTAGGAGAGATGCCAAATAGTTGAAGCCTGTCACCAGTATTAAGCCTCTCCTGGACAGCCATCCAAACAACAAAACTAGCCCTAGGGATATGGTAAGCCCCCCAGATTAGTTTATGCCAAACAACTTTATCAAGCTTAAGCCTCCAATGATTCCAAACACCATTAATAGTAAATTTCCCATCAGAAAGAGACCAAGTAGGTTGATCATCCAGTAGAGGGTTAGGTCTGCAGCTAGTAGGGGTTGAAGAGATCAGCTCCCTTATTTCCCAAGAGTTGGGGACAGGCCACTTCCAAGAGTCCCCATCCATTATCTGATTGACCTTAGTCTCACTGTTAAGATTAGAGTCATACAAGATTCTGTCCCCAAATTTTTTCCATAAAGGACCAAGAGGATGCCAATTATCGTACCATAAAAAGGTAGAGTCGCCCCTACCTATTTTGTGGATAATAAGGGGAGAAATTTTATCTCTAGGAGCAAGGATCTTCCTCCAAACCCAAGAAGAGTTGTAGGGAACCTTTACTTTCCAGAAACTTCTGCCCTTTAGTAAATACGATTTAACCCACTGGCACCACATAGACATCTCCCCTTCGATTTCTCCTTCTGTTCTCTAACTTTCTCTTCCAAAAGCAAAC